ATGCAAGGACTCATTGTCCGACTCCTCTGCCCCCCTCTAGTACCTGATTCAGGACTATGTTCCCCAACTTGTGGGTAACATTACTTCCACTGTGTACAGAACCTCTTCTTTTAGCTACACTGAGGAGATCATATGTCTCTACTTAAGTGGTTATCTTTCATATATCTCTTTATTTTTCTTTTCTGCTAAAATTTCCCTTCCTTATGCACCTTTCCAGAACTCTCTTAAGCTTTTAATCTGTTTGAATGGGGACTGCTAACAAATTAATACTTACTGTTTCTTCATCTTTTAATTTTAAATGTCGCATCAGCGTTTCCTGTCATAGATACGTCACGATATTTTTTCTTTCTGGATATTTTAGAACAAAAAGATCAAATGTAGCTTCCAGGTTCTTCCTGTGCTGACCCAGAGGGGACGATGAGCTCGTCACTAGCTGTTCTTTGTGCAAATGTGCTCCTGGAGTTCACAGTGAAACCCTTCTGTCACAAGCACAGCTCTCCCTCTTGACCCCTTTTCTATCATTAAGAGCGCAACTCTACTCTTGGTTATGCTTCTTGTCAGATAATTGAGTTGACGGAGATATGGTCTAGACTTCCGGACAGATGAGACAAGAATGACGGAAAAACGTGCTGTAAGAAATAATGACCAGACGAGGATGTGTTGTCTTGTCTTCATGATGAATCTCCAGCTACATAAGTGCCCGGGACTGAGAATCTGGAAGAGAGCAAGGAGGGATATCTGGAAGGGTTTGGAGCAGGAAAGGAAAGGGAAGAAAAGAAATCTATATAATCTGCTCTTAAGTCGATCTTTGCCTATCTTGTTCAGCGTTGTCCTGCAATATTCACTTCAAATTCAAACATTTGCTCCACGATGGAAGGAAGCCCCGTTTTTCAATCTGGGCTTCTCTGATGCTCCAATGGAGGGTATTATCATCTGCTGAGACTGCTTTAATAAAATAGTCTGAGAGAGGCATGCTTGCTAGGACAGCTGGGTTCAATGCCGTCTCTGTTATTTTCATTCCTGCTGAGATCTTGGGTCGAATTTTAATTTCCTTAATTGTCCTTGATCTCATCTGTAAAATGGGAATTGTGAGAGCATTTCAGAGTCAGGGTTGTCAGGGAGTGCAGGAAAGTGATTCACTGTGGTGTGCGTGTGCAAAGGCCGCACAGATAATGGGGCATCTGATGTGAACTGGAGAGAAAAGTCGAACAAGCCAAGAACATTTGTATTTATTTGTCTGATGAATTTCAGATATCCTGATATACGTTAAAGGATCATATGTTAATGTATGAAGCTTATGTTTCCCTCTCCAATTCTAATTGTTGCTGAAAACTAAAATATCAACTCAACACAGGATAAAACCTGGGGAGCGGGTCTGAGGCAATGTCTAAATATAGCTGTTCGCTGAGGGTTGCTCTTGTGCTTTTGACAGGCCTTGGTATCTGAGTTCACCTGAGACCTAAATAGATACTGTCGCCTCTCTGTAGCTAATAAGGATTTAGAGCACATGTCAGAAGACGATCCAACTTCCTTAATTTTCAGCCTCCACTATTCACAAAAGCCAATCTGGCCTTCAAAGGGAAACCATACCAGGACTACAGGCTGCGGTTTCCATAGCAACAGTGGAGGTCAATAGCTGCCGTCACACCTTCATCAGGCTTCATTGCTTTGGCAATTTGCCATCCTCTGCTTCCTTTTGTCTGTGCGTCTCTCATTTGCTTAATTTCTGTCTCAGGAATCCTCTTGTGAAAAACCACAGGCGCTGAATTTAGATTGAAAGCTGTGCAGGCTTTACTAAAACACTGGGCAACGCTGTCTTATGACTCACAGGCATGTGCTTTGAGAAACGCATTTCCGCATCCTCTACTGCAATCTTTCATACTTCACTACAGCTTAGAATTCTTTGTTTGTAACGCCCTAAGCTTTTTGTATATTTATTGTTTTAAAAGAGGTTTTTAAATATGTGCCATCCTGCTTCTAACACTGCACTTTGACGGCAAAGGTAAGAGATGTGCTAGGTTAAAATTCATTTTTGAGTTATCATACAAGGGTTAGTACACAGCCTTTGTGCTGTCTCCTCTAGCCCCTCCCCCTTTACATGCTGTCATATCACTGCTCCTCCTCTTCTGAATTCTTCAACACACCTTCTGCTCTTGGCCTGCATATGCTGGCCTCACCTTCTCTTTTTAATTTGAGAATTTCATACCTGAGTATTTTCATTCTTTCCCCCTCTGACTCCTCCCATAGGAACCCAATACCCAGTTTTCAATGTATGGACACTTCTATATTTAATTTTGGATATCTACCATCTATCACTCCACATCATTTATCATCTATCCATCTGCCTGCCTGTCTGTCCGTCTGTCTGTCTATCTATCTGTCTCTGTCTGCCTATCTATATAAATGTTTGTCTTTCATACTGAGTCCAAATTAGTGTTTCTCTTTTTTGCATGGTTTTATGATTGACCCCTTAGGATTGAGGTCTTATTCCTAGACAAAAACCAAATTAGTTCTCCCACTCTTAGTAGCCACTGACTGCCTATATTGCATCATCTAGGTGTAGAGCCCCATGAAAGATGTTTCTCTAGCATCTTCTTTGGACTATTCACTTTTATAGTTTCAGGGTGATCAACCCCATTTCTGTTCTGATGAGGTCCATTCATATGGTTTCCAATCACAACCCTCCAGCTATGACCTCTCCTCCAAAATCCAGATATAGACGTATTTAACCCAGAACTTGGCATATTTCTTTATCCATTTCAAGCGATGTTGTTGAACTTGCCCAAATATGTATGTCCCAAACTAATTTTCATCTCTGAGGTCAAGTACTGTAGGTTGATAAACTCCATGGCTGTCTTTTCCACTTCCTCTGTCTCTAGGAGGCTATTGGAAGTCAAACTTTACTATCCCACCCTTATAACCGGAAACATCTGTGTCACGAATGCTGGATGGCGATGGATAAACCAGCAGCGCTCCACACCCTCTTCCTCTTATTCCTGCTCATGACAGGAGCTGACTATGAAATAGAACACTGCCGTACTGCAGACTGTCGAGAGAAGACACATTACAGAAAGGACGTGGTGTTTCTGTGAAGCATCGTTGAACTAATGGCTTATCGTGCTGGTAACATGACAACTACTGACTGCTAAACTGTAGTCTCCTGAACACAGAGAATAAATGACATTGTTAAGTGTCTTGGCCAGTGTAGTCTTGTTCTTTGCTGTTGATATAATAGTAAACAGCAAGTTATTTGCTAGTGGTTCTAGCCTCCTAGCCCGCTCTCTCTTGTAGTCTGCGCCTCTCAGTAAAGCACTTTACCATTGCCCCTAGTCAGAAAGAAGGGGGCTCTTCCAGGTCCTTTTATCACTACCTCCAATCTTACCGCTCCCACACCAAACATACATGCTGAGTTCATCCAGGAATCCTGTGTCATTTCTTCAAGAATGGAACAACATTATCAATGTCTCTCCTCTAAGTTAACTGTACAGTCTTTGAACCTACCCCTCCCAATTCATTTGCCCCTTCTCAGCTCAGAAGCTCCTCTCAAACTACAAATGTTTATTATCATATCTCTGTTAAAACCCTGTACTGTTCCGGTTGAACCCAGAACAGATCGAAGCTATGCCTATAACAGGGTCAGAGCCCATAAATCTCATGGTCTATTACATCTTCACTAACCCCATCAAGTGGCTCTTCAATCCTCTCTCCCCATGCATTGTTAGCCATAGCATTCCTGTATGTTCTGAGATCACCATGACCCCCTTCATGTCTTTCTAACATTTTAGCCCACCCTTACCCTCTATACATCATATGTGCATAGACAGCCCCCTTTCCACCCTTGGTCCTCAGCTGAAGTGTGTTCTGAGAGACCTCCACTGACCATTTTATGAAACTTAAAAGTTCTTTTCTATTTGACCTCACTTCTCTAAAAAGTAGAACTTCCTTTATTTCTCCCTTCATTTCTTGTATTCTCTCTCCAAAGTGTCCACTATGGTCCTTACTTCTGTATAATTTGGAATCTAGTTTGGGGAAAGAAGATTTTTCAGTTTATCAGAGAGAATATAATAAACATCATTGAACAAGTCTTCACAGAGCACGCACAGGGTGGGGGTGAAGAAGTGGGTGGGGCATTAAGGTTTCACAGAGATAGTAACTCCAGACATTTATAGCCTTTGAACTAAGATCTGAGTTTCAGAGGCTTTTAGACCTGGTACCTAGAACTCACAACGGTTCTTATCCCCTGACCGTACCCAGGGAGGATCTGAGAGCTGGCCCTCTGGTTCTAACAAAGGATGCTGTCCAACTGGTACAGACATCTATGAAGAAGAAGGATAAAGCCAGGAGAAACAAGAAACTACAAACAGTTGGCGATGTTGGGGTCAAGCAAATGCTGCAGAGACGACGAGGAGGAACAAATTGCTTTTGACTTCTCTTCCTATGAAAACTTCTTGTAAGCAAAGCTCAGTAAAGATTGATGCACCTGGCAAACGCGACAGTCTGCTGGGTACCTGGGTCAAGCAGTACAGAGCATCCTATAAAATCCTATGTATAGGACTGGAGAGATGGCTCAGCGGTTAAGAGCGTTGCCTACTCTTCCAAAGGTCCTGAGTTCAATTCCCAGCATCCACATGGTGGCTCACAACCATCTGTAATGAGTTCTGGTGCCCTCTTCTGGCCTGCAGGCATACACACAGACAGAATATTGTGTACATAATAAATACATATTTAAAAAGTCCTGCGTATAAAGATGAGATGTGCATAGTTTCATCACTAACATAATATATGTCTGTTGTCTTTTCTTTGTTTGTTGAAAGTACATACTCAAAATTTGTCTCCCTCCCTTCTTGTCTCTTCTTCCTTCTTTCCCTTCCTCCCTTGCTTCCTTCCTTCCTTGACTTGCTTGTAACAATTCCTCTTCTCATCCCCCAACTGTGCATTACAATAACAAGTATATATACTACAGTAAATAGCTAGAAAACAGTCAATAAATACTCATTAGATAGATTTGGCATTACTAAATTTATTAATTTTTCTCAAAACTACTTAACAAAATGCAGGATACAATTTTTTGCCAATTACCCAAACTTTTAGTTCCTCATAGGATTTCTTTGGGGCTTCAAGTATGAGAAAGAACATTGTAGCTGAAAAAGTCATAAATTCTGGACTCGGATGTGTGGGCTTTATGCCTTTTGCAAACAGGACATAAAGTTATTTTTTGGCAAAGAAATGATATGACCATCTATAATGTTTTCCGAAGATCAACCTTTTGTACCATAGGCTATTGATTGGATGGAGATAATTCAGAAGACCTTGCCAGAGGTGTGGCTCTGTGATGGTTGAACACCTTGGGGTTAGCCCCTCATTGCAGAAAAACAAGAGAAGGAGGAACTTCTAGGAGACTATGGCAATAATACTGAGCCTCAAAGTTGGCAAAGGAATGAAAGAAAGCTGTACCAACAATTGTTTAAAAAGAAGAATTAATATAATATAGCACAGATTTAATCCCAGGCAGACGTGGTTTCTAGAATTTGTCAACAGTGGTTCTCTTAGTGAGGATTTATGAGGATGGAGACAGAAAAGAGAGCACTGATTTCATCAGAATAATTCGATCATGATGACGTCAGTCCACCCAGAGGCCTGGTGTTTTTTTTTTGTTTGTTTGTTTTGTTTTTTAATTTCCTGCAGCAACGAGTCTCAGTTCATTGAAAAGCTAGTAGGAATCCGGAAGGATGTATGTGTCGTCATCTTGGGGAGGAGGAAGAGGGCTAGGTTTCTGGAAATTACAATAGAGGGCGTCTGTTTGATTCCCGTAGACATGCTCCTCGGGATTAGATGGCTGCGTATTTTCATATAGCGCCTTCTCGGTTGATGCCTCGGTTGATGCCTCGGTGCTGGCGGGACCCACTTGCACATTTTCGTACTCGCCATGCGTCCTATTTTTCTTGGTGGTCGACTTGTGGCCTTTGCTTTCCCCTGAGGTTTTAGAGTTTGAGCAAACCATGTGGGCGTTCAAGTCAAGGGTTTTTGTGAAGTTCTTATGTCTGCTCCTTCTCCTTTGCATAAACTTCGGTAAGGTAAGTGCTGTGGATTCCCGGCGCTTCCAGTGCCAGACACACCCAATTCCACAGACTAGGAGAAGTATAAGGAGGGAAACGCCGACAGCCACGCCCACCGAAGAGCTCGCCAAGCTTTTCAGCATTTCCACACAGTGGCCTGCGGCTCGATGTGGCTAATGAATTCGTGTGCACAAGCAGATGCAATTTTTGGTAGCCTGTTGTGGTTCAAACCCGAGTTTGAGGACTCTTTTAGCCATTTCTCTTTCCAGACCTGAAAAGACATTACATGACAAAGTCCTGATGTAACCAGAGGTAATATTGACCAGTTTCTGAGGATGACAGTTTACATCACCGTTCCTGTACACCCAGAGCTGTAAGGAACGGCCAGGCCGGCGGGGTGGGG